ATATCGTAAATGTTCAGCTGGAAGTTGATCAAGAGATTAACTTCGTTTAGCTCTAGTGGTTTGTAGCTCGTTGCCATTAATGGAAAAGTTCATTAACGGTGTCAGCGAAATGCTTAGAAATGTGCCAAATTAACTGTACGAAGCTAGAAATTATCATGATTACTATGGCAGATCTTGGTCAAGATGTGTTCAACTAGATTAATCTGACAATATTACCCGGTTAAAAAAAGAGGTCAAACAACTTCCTTACTATGATCAAATTGGAAGCCAAGTTAAAAATGGAGTGGCCATTACTTACCCAAGGGAGTCAATGGTTATAAATAATAAAATAACACTCCTGTTAAGGATAGCGTATATCGTCATTTAATCGCTAGTAGTCATTGCAATATTAAATACATGGTCAAAGAATAAGATTATAAAACAAAACATTAAGCTAGCTAATGCTATTTTATTCCGTATGAAACCAATGAGTAACGCAGCCGTAATGAATGGTCAGGTAAAGAAAATTGTTTACTTGGGACGCTTAGCCAATCGGAGCCGATTTTGGAAATAAAGATGTAAGATTAAGGGGTTACCTGTTCGTTGTCTTGATCTATTATATTCCTTTCTCAAAATAAGAAAGCTAACTACACTAAAATTATAGAAAATGATACAATCAAAGCAATAAATAGAAAGATAATGCATATAAACATGGAATAAGTTTACTCACGAGACAATTTACCTCAATAAGGCTTGTCCTCTTATTAGGATATCTAAATATCTGCGATAATAATTTAATCGTTATGAAAACTGGTAAAGGTGGAGCAATAGTAGTGATGGACAAGTCAAATTAAGTAGAAAAAAGGTTAGATCATTTAAATGACAGTGAAACATATATACCTTTACTGAGAGATCCAACAGAAGAACTGAAAACTAGGCTAAAAGATACCCTTAAGGTATGCGTAAGTAATGGCGAAATGGAGAAGTAGAATATGAATTCCCTGTTCCAGAGAGATAAAAAGGCCCCCACGGCTTAAGATGTCCCTAAGATTGATTGTAAATAATAAAGGAAGTGTGATGCATAAAATCTCACGTTTTGTATGCATACAACTAAGGAAAACTGTCAATTTTTGGCTATAATCAGTTAAGAATTCTTATGATTTTGTAAAATTGCTTGATTATCAGACACTTTCAGAGGATAGGCTTGTATGTTTTGGTGTTCTGTCTATGTAAAAAAGCATTTCTGTTCAAGGAGCTATTCAAGCTATGGAGGAGCATCCAGAGAAAACATAAGGAATAAGGAACAAGGCTGAGTGTAGCTTCCATAATTATTGTGATTGACTTATTGACTTATCAATTAGTGACATATTTTACCTTCGATGGTATGTTATACGAACAAACACAAGGACTAGCGATGGGACCTTGCCTGGTTGCCATGTTGGCGAACAATTATATAGCAAGACTCGAGGAATACTTCCTGAAGAGGCAATACTAACCCCACAAATTGTTGGTCAGCTATATGGATGACTATTTTGTCATCTGTCCTCATCGTAAAAAGAGTTTCGATAGTTTCCTACATTGTCTCAACCAACATGAAAGGAACATTAGATTCACAATGGAAATAAAAGAGAGTAAGTCCTTACACTTTATAGATGATTTCATCATTAGCGAAAGGGTGAGTTAGGAAGAGATGTTTATAGGAAGTCAAAATATGTTGGCTCTGCTTAATTATCTTTCCAACCCTAGTTACAAAAGTAAGGTTTGAATTTTAAAGGCAATGATTATTATGAATATGAAGCTAGTGGATAGCAAGCATTAAACTAAGAGTTGGAACGGATGACAAATTTATTTCTGGAAAAAAGTTATCATAAGGGCCTTTTTAAGAATAATATCACTTTACTGAGTAATAAATTTTCAGACAGAGACCATTTAATCAAAAATAGACCAGCTAAGACCCTTTCCCATGTACTAATTTTACCGTCATATCTTCTTTCAAAAAAGACTGGAGAATTAGTAAGGAAGTGGAGGATAAAAAAGGTGTTTAAGGAAACCCTTAAAATTTCTTCTGTTATGCCAACTTTTGGAGAAAAATATGACCCATTATCGAGATCCGGATGCTACCTTATGTAGTGAGACATGCTGACCTATTCGACAGAGATTGAGGGAACACAACAAAGCTTGTAAAGGAAGCTGGGTCCAATGGTCCGAGGTGTCCGAGCACATGGCAGAAACTGGACATGGGATAGAATGGTTCGAACTAGTAAGTTTGCTGATGATAGCACGCCTGCGGTTAAAAGAAAGATAGGAGGCGATTTAAATTAATAGCTCAGGAAATACGTTGAATGTGAGGAACGATGTTAGAAAGCTGAATAGGGACTACTTATGCTTGATTGATAGATTGAAAGAGAGAGATGTTGAACCGCCATCCAAAAGAATGTGACCAGAACAAAGATAATTAACAAAACCATTCTATATCGATCTATGCCTTTTAAATTCCCCTTTGCCTAAATAAGACTATATAAAAAGTAATATAGAGCCGGATAGTATTCTTATTAGGGGGACTTTCATTTCGTATGAAATTGAATGAAGAATATTCGTTTGTCGATCTTACCAGATGAGGACGGATGAATCTCGTTGTACTGCAGCCGTTTGGCTTTTATACGATATTCATTTTGAAGCAGTCCACAAGAATTCCTCCTTCGTTTCGGGTGAAAACGTGCTGAGCTTTCGTCCATCATTCGATGGACATCATCAGAGCTGGATATCATTCTTGTAAAAGTCTCACGTTAACACTATGTCAAGAACTCTATCCGGACCTATCTTACTTCTTATATAGACTCAATTGAGCCCAAAGAAAATTACAAACCTAGATAGATCGATATAGAGTGGTTTGGTTATCTTTCATACTGGTCCTGTTAGTTTTGCTCGAGTGTATGCGTATGTGTATTTGTGTGTTAGCATCTATATGTAATACGGTACCTAAATCAGAGTTATCAAAGGTTTCATCACTTGATTTTCATGCATACTTGTTTACGGACTTACGCAGTCTCGGTCAAGACTTTCTCTTGAAGATCAGAACCTGACATTAAAACTTTGACAACTCTCATTTAGGTACCGTATTACATATAGATGCTAACACGCACAAATACACATACATATAAACTCAGGCAAAAGTAACAGGAGCAGTATGAAAGATAATTAACCAAACCACTATAAATCGATCTATCTAGGTTTGTAATTTTCTTTTGGCTCAATTGAGTCTATATAAGAACTCAGATAGAGCTGGATAGAGTTCTTGCCCAAGTGTTAACGTGAGACTTTTACAAGAATGACACAGATCTCTGATGATGTCCATCATATGATGGACGAAAGCTCAGCACGTTTTCACCCGAAACATGGAAGGAAGTCTTGTGGACTGCGTCAAAATGAATATCGTATAAAAGCAAAATGGCTGCAGTACAACGAGACTCACCCGTCCTCATCTGGTGAGATGGACAAACGAAGCTCTTATTCATTCACTTTCATAAAAAATGAAAGTCCCCCTAAAAATATTATTTCAAGAGGTTCATCGAAACTCAGTCTCTCTTCGTATCTATTATTCTTGTCTTCGTGTTAACTTGAGAATTATACAAGGATGAGTCCTAGCTCTGATGAGGTCTATCATGTGATGGGCGAAGGCTCAGCCCGTATTCGCCTGAAAAGAAGAAGGTTTCGTGGACTACGTCAATCTCAACGTCGTATAAAAGCCAAACGGCTACAGTACAACGGGATTCAACCGTCCTCTAACGTTGAGATCGACCTTCGAATCTCTTCTTCATAAACATACATTAAAAAAATTAAAGTTCAGGCAATAGTGTTATCTCAGGAGATTCACCGAAATCCAGTTTTCTTCATATCTAAATGATCAAAATAAGC